TCCAATACACGAGAAAGACCAGTTCAATTTTGTGGCACTCTTCATTATCTCTGTAGACACGTCTTTGAAAACTGTTGAAAACCAACGCGCTAGCGTAAGAATGATGTGCGCTCGCAGTAAGATGTCCTAACAACGCCACTTGACACCTTACTTCGTGCGCATAGGTTGTTTATGCCTGCTCTCTGTTGCAAATCAGCCTTGTATTGGTGAGACAGATATTTATACATGGTTCAGATGGTATCCGCCTTGAAAAGAGTCGACACCGAGTCGAGATCTTGGGTTGTTGCTCAATGCTTCTCCCGAAACAGGTCGCGAGGTCAGACTAGTAAAGTTGAGGTTTTTGAACGCTTAGTAAACCGTCATCGAAGCTTTGCTCGACTCCGGCTTATCAGCGATTTAGAGCTCAAACGGAGGTGACCTCTCTTGTGTTTTTTTGGAGCCGGGCCTTTCCTTCGCATCAAGGAACCGTTGAATCCTTCTCCAGAGTGAAATTTATTGGTCTCTGTGATGCACAGGATCAGTTACACACCCAGGGCGTTTCTAGAAGGGCCCAAAATAGGGAGAGGTGAGGGGCGAGACGAAAATCGGCCTGTTGGTGCTGAAAAGGGACAAGTGGTTACATTCTAACCCTCTATAAACAAAAGGAAACCCTCATCCCAGATCCGCATCTCAGAAAGCTGCTTTCCGCTGAGCCGGACCCCCCCGCCCGCCTTCCAAGAATTTCCCAGGACATTTTCTTTGACACGTAATAATCTGACACTCCGTAGCTGACATGACATAATGAATTTCGTGATGTTCAAGCTGTACAGTGAAGGAAGTAACTTGGCGCACCAGCCACGATTATATACATGTAAAGTTATCCTGAAATACCGATTAAAATCCCAGGGATTATTCTACGTTGTCAGGGGTTTCTAGTGGGCGTATAACCAAGGACACCTTTATCCGGGAAAAGGAGGGGGGGAGGGTTGAACACGGATATAGAACCGATGCGCTCTTTGCAAGTTTATAACATTTTTGTTTCCCATTCGGCTCCTCCTTTTCTCCCTGAGAACTTCGGCGAAGCGAACAGGTCAGGCCTCCTGTTATGCATGTAAACGGAGCAGTTCGGTCACCATATTGTTGCGTTGACCGCTTGGCTTGAGAGTTCATCAGTTTTCAGCAGGACCACATAGTGGAGATCTTTACTTCATCATATTTGTTTCATTTTCTTGCATCACTTTGCTCTGGCGAAGGGCTGATGCTGGAAAGGTCGACTTGATTAGTTCTGTTGTTCGTACCTTTTCTGTGATACAGCGAGAGCAGGTACGAACTTTCAATCACTACAGGTTTCAGTGGTAACCCAACGTCGTACAGGAAAGCACACCCCTTCCGATGGTATCTGAGCCAGGCACTCCCACGCTGACTTTGACGGCTAAGCATGTGCGAGCCAGGCCTAAGACTTCTCCCACCCCCCGCCCTGAGCGGTCTTTGAAGAGAAAGGTCCAAGTAATTCCTAGAGAGTAGAGTAAATTAAAGTGCAGGGCCGGGGAGTGGGGGCGGTTATAAAGAGCTTTCATTGTAAATAGCAAGCAGCGCAATTTCCAAGTTGAGGCTGTACATTGTAAACCATGGGTTACAGAGCAAAGGCGGCAACGAACGCGAAGACAAAAAGGCCGTTTGCATGAAACTGTAACACGGTACAAAATCTATAGTCTGCCTCATGGGAAGAGAATGTGCCTGGCAGCCCCAAGACAGTAACGACTCCAGCTACCAGGACGGCTTTTGTTCTCTCGCCCCAAGATTGGGGCGATTGCTCCTCCTCGATCTTGTCAACTACCGTCACTCTACTGTTCGATAGTTGCCTTTTCCTTGTTTCGAAACGGGTCCTGGGACGAACCATGTGAAGCGAATATACGTTTGCAAGATAAGAAGCATGCTTACCAAACGACTTTGAACTGGCCTCGTTTTAAAACATAGGCATTAGGCAACCCGGTAAAGGCTCATTCTTGGCCAGGAAGAATCCAAAGCGGAAATGAGAGTTCCACGCGGATAGTAGAAAGAGAAAATTCCCTGGCGGAGAATCTTAAACTCGATGCGAGTAAGTTCTTGATAGTTTTGCGAGACTGGCCACACGAAGTAAATGAGATCACCTTACCTCTAAATGGAAAGGTGTCTCCGGCGCCGAACTGCAGTTCAAAGATCGACCGGCCAGACACGAGGGATCCAAAGTATCACATTCGTCCACATCCAGTAAAATAACATTCGTAGTTTAACTCTTCCTAAGAAAGTGAATATATGGCGAAACTTTTCCCATCGGGAATTACGTAACGGTTATGGCATTATGTCGAAAACGTTTGATTGCCGTTTGTTTTGATTTTTTAACCATTTTTTAACATTTTTTAGTCTTGTAAATATTTTGTCATAATATTAAGCGAATTTTATGGCGTAAGTGAGAATAGTCAGGGTATTTTTGTATGTTTCTCGCTGTTAAATGAAATATGCGTTTAAGAGCAAATAATCTAACGCTTGTTTTGAACGAATTCACTCTTGCTGTATTTGGAGTTCTCGATTCGACGCACCTCATACCCTGTGAGAAGGGGTGGGGGAGGGGAGGGAGAGAGACTCTCTTCGGGCAGAAAGAGAAAGAATGGGTCATGTTGCAGCTCTCGTAAGGTCTCGCATGAATAGTTTGATACCCTTTGAGAGGACAAAAGAACAAACAACAGAAACAATGCACCTAGCCCTAAAACAATAACAGCTGCTAACAATCAAGAGAATTACAAGCTTACGAGAGCTGCTAAACTGCTGGAAAGAATCTTCACTCACAGAGTACTCACCTTGGCCGACCGATCCTAAGCTCGTTGAAGTTATATTTTTGAAGGTTATGTTAAGTCGTACTCAGTTACTCTGGACACATGCAGCTAAATACACACAGGCCCTATTAAAAAGCTAACCATTCCCCAGTCAGTGCTAACATAAGATAACCGAAGCGCTACACAGTGTAACGGAGTACCCTTCAGGTTAACCAAAGTGGTGTTTAGGCTGACCGGAGTACATCAGTTTTGATTTGGTGTTATTCTTGTCTTTAGCCTCTAGTCTCTGGATCTCTAAAGCAATTGTTTTTATTTTGGCTTAGGTCAACCCGGCGTTCTCTATTTGAGTGGTGTGTTATTGCACCAATTATAAATATTATAAGGTAGATTTCGATCAAAGCTTAAACAAAATGTTGCTTGAGTCGAGCAGTTTATTTTTTGAAATTTCCTATTAGTTGAGTAATCAGATCTCAACACCGCACTCAGACAGGATAGTGTGCCTGTTGTTTTGGGGGCTTTTTTTGACCATTTCGCCACACGTGCGTCCTGACGTCACTTCTTCAAAGGCGTATTATCTTTAGATGCTGGATGTTGATGTCTTCAAACGTCTGTTATCCGTAGATAGGTCTTTATTTGAGAGAAGCGGTGAAAGCATGTGAAATTTTAGTGAAAACATCGAGCATTTTTTCACCGACTGCACCTTACGGCGGATGAAATTGTAAAATTATCTTCGCTGTTTCCATAGACTGTTCGGAAAGAGAAACAAAGCTGTAAAAGCTGTGTGGCGTCTGCCGTTTGCAGATCTTGTGATCTTTTACGCGGTTTTTTTTTAGCAATTGTTTTAAAGAGAAAGTGGGAAGGGGGGGGGGGGNGTTGCAGCTCTCGTAAGGTCTCGCATGAATAGTTTGATACCCTTTGAGAGGACAAAAGAACAAACAACAGAAACAATGCACCTAGCCCTAAAACAATAACAGCTGCTAACAATCAAGAGAATTACAAGCTTACGAGAGCTGCTAAACTGCTGGAAAGAATCTTCACTCACAGAGTACTCACCTTGGCCGACCGATCCTAAGCTCGTTGAAGTTATATTTTTGAAGGTTATGTTAAGTCGTACTCAGTTACTCTGGACACATGCAGCTAAATACACACAGGCCCTATTAAAAAGCTAACCATTCCCCAGTCAGTGCTAACATAAGATAACCGAAGCGCTACACAGTGTAACGGAGTACCCTTCAGGTTAACCAAAGTGGTGTTTAGGCTGACCGGAGTACATCAGTTTTGATTTGGTGTTATTCTTGTCTTTAGCCTCTAGTCTCTGGATCTCTAAAGCAATTGTTTTTATTTTGGCTTAGGTCAACCCGGCGTTCTCTATTTGAGTGATGTGTTATTGCACCAGTTATAAATATTATAAGGTAGATTTCGGGGCTGGCTTGTTACAATCGACTGACGCGCTTAACAAATTTGATCTTCATTATTCGTCAAACGAGCATCCTAAGTCAATCATTCAAAGTCAATCGCTGTTATTTCCATATGGCCACAGAGACTCTTGCAGCGATCAGAGCTGTCACATGGAAACCAGCCATAACGTGTCCCTGAGTTGTCGAGTTGTTTCGAACGAAGCATCCAAAGAATCCTATTATCGCCAGGTCGCTAATAAGTTGAGTACGCCAAATGCATGGAAGTCTTCACAGGAAAGTTTTGTTTCATCCAGCTGTAAGATTGAAATTCTAACTTCTTTGTTACTCGTACTGAGAACAAAGTCAAAGAAATCAGTCACGCGAACCGATTTCAGTGATCGTTTCTTTCCTCGCCAAGCACGCACACATCACGTGTATTGCTGTATGATGGGTGGGGATGACGTCACGAAAGCACAGGCGGTCATGTTGGATAGCTGACGTAATCAAAATTAGCCATGTTCTAAACGAGCAAGGGACTGGGTACGAATATTTAAAATCGATTAATTTGAAAAACTGAGCCTGTAATCTAAAAGAGCATCTAAAAGTTAGGACGTGTACTAAATGTCAGTGTTTTTGTTTTTGTTTTTTTTGTTTTTTTGTTTTTTTTTTTATTAAGCTTCGGCCTATTATTACACATAACGAAAAAAAAAAACAAGAAAAAACGAAAAAAACAAAAAACAAAATGGCCAGGGGAGCCGCTAAAGCTTAGCCAATTACAGCGGCCCCCTTAGGTTCAAACACAAAGACGTAATACAGTTTTGGAAAAGCTGTGGTGTATGGTTTGGAGGGACCTCCCTCCAACTGCGCAAAGCCATACAAATATTCGTACCCAGTCCCTTGCTCCTTTAGATACTAATCCAGCACATTGCTTCCTCTAGTCCCTGGTCTTCTCTCTCTGTCACGCAACGCTGTACGTTCTCTCTTGAGAGCGTAGCGTTGCGTGACAGAGAGAGGGCCAGAACGATAATTACACGGAAAAGAAATGCATGAAATCAAGGTAGCTTGAAATGGGTGCAACGGTCTTCATTGATCCACTCCTTGAGCTAGTAAACAAACAACACAAAGACTGTGTTCTTATCTTGTATTCCATACGACCTGTAGTTGAAAACCTCTTCGAAGACCCCTAAGTCTATGGCCAAAATGATTAGTAACTTCATATCCTGTTTTTCGGGCTCGCATTTAATTACGATCCACCCACAGTAGAAAGCGTTTTTATGGACAGCAGCTCCTGTATTTAAGTTAATTTATGTTCCTTTTTTTCCTTGCATTTCTCGGCTCGAAACAGGCAGCGAAATAAACATGCTGAACTAAAATTTAAATAAGGGCATTTTATCGCCTTTTTATGTACCGCTCAAATGTGAACATCAACATCCGTTCCCCCGCGCATTCCCTTCTTCCCAAGGGGAGGGGATGTAGGAAATTGACGCCGTGTGTGGTTGATATTGGGGTGGGGCATTCTACACCATATGGGAGGGGTAGAAGGGATGTGACAAAGTTACCTCGTTATCATGCACGGTGATGCTAGGAAACCAGAAGAGACAGCTCTGTGGATCCAAACAGAGCGTTGAAAACTTTGTGATTTGTTTTGGAAGGAAATGTACAAGAAGTTTTTGTTGTGCAAGGTTGATC